TACCTTCATTTTAGTAGTTAAACTATGTTAAAAATATCCATAAAGTAACTTATTTTGTTAAGTCAATACATAGTATTATATCATTTTATTTATTTATTTATTTATTTTTTGTTCATATTTACTTACACTTACTTAAAATAGGACAAGGTCTTTCAAAAACTCATTTTAATAAAATATTATATTGCATTTATGTTTTTATGTTCAAATGGATATAAGAATATACTTCAAAATGTATTTATTCATTGAAGTTTTTTCACAAAGCATAAAACAACTTATATAAAATTAAAATTTTTGTTTTATTTACTTTTTATTTTATTTATACTAGACTGTATGTATGGTATATTAAAGCAAAGTTCTAAAATGTTTAAAAAATCCTTTTAGTAAAAAATGTGTTATGCTAGAAATTTGTTTAATACTTGAAAACCCGCAACAGCTCAAGTTACGTACATGTAAACAAATTTTTTATTAAACTTATTTTCATGTCTTTGTAAAGTTTTTCCTTGCTCCTTCCTTGCGTTTACACATTTCAAACTTAACTGTGCTGCCGCACAACTCATACGCTATGTGGTACCACATTGTTAGCTGCTTTCAGATATAATGAATGAATGAATGAATGAAAATATATATCACATTTTAATTTCTGTTTTTGTTTCCTTCTTTAAACATAAATTTTTGTTAAAACTGTTTCAAATATTTTAAATTTCTTTAACAAGTATGAGGACTCAAAAGGCAGAAGTTAATCATCCCTTTTAGTACACTTTTAACATTCGTCTTTGTTCTGCCATCATGTCACATGTCATGCATTTTAATAAAATTACTTAAGTGCTGTGGTATCACTCAACTTGTTAAACATTTGATATGTAGCACTTTTCAAGCACTTAGAAATTTAAGCAAATAATTTAAATTATTTAAAACTTTTAGTTAAAATTTATTTGAATTTAATAAAATTTGAGTTTTTATTACTTTTATCAGGTAGAAATATCCTATATATAAGAACTTTTGCAATATCAAAAAGTATTTTTTGCAAGTTCATGTCTCAAAGTCAAAACTACATGTCAATTTTATACAGAAAATGTGGCAACTACCGCCACCAATGTTGATGTTATCATTTGATGAGCAATTTTGATGCGCTATATTTTAAAGAAATGTATTATAAATTCATTTACTAATAAGAGATGCTCCAAAAATTAAGTTTTTTTTGTTATATTTAAAAATGCGCAAATATTTAACATTTTTTGGGTAGGAAAGTAGAAGTTCTACTTTACAAGCTTCTCAGCCATTTCATGACTGATATGCACACCAGAATTACTTAGTTCGTACTAATGAAAACAGATATAAATACAGGTTGGAATCAACTTTGATTTAGTAAATTATTAGTGATAATGTATATGTATATTTTATCATTTTTTATGTAACATTATTATTATTATGATTTATAGTAATTTTATATAAATTAATAGAGGAGTTAGATACTCATCCCTTTTCAGCTCACACTATGTTTTATTATGGCCGTGTGAGAGTAAATTGAGGTAAAGTAAATTAATATTTTCTAGGAATTTATTGCACTGCACTTCTAAAAATATTAATTTATTTATTTATTGCACTTATTTATTATTTTTTGTTAAAATTTACCTAAATTTTCCTAATTAACCTGATTTTTATCTAATTTATCCTGCTCGAAATTCTGGTAAATACCAACATTCGCTGCCAAACCGACATAATTTACTATTTCCCTCAATTTACCATTAATATTGAACAATTTTGCTTTTATTAAAACTGATTTTATTATAATTGGAGGTAAATACAACCATTCGGCAAAGCCTAACTTCATATGGTAGAAGTGTGTTAATGGTGACTTGAGTTTTAAGAGTAAGAATTAAGTTCTGTTATATGTAGTTTCTTTATAATAAATTGAATAATAACTAAAGTACAATGTAAATATATTGTAGAAACATTTTTCTTTTTATAATTACGAATATTTCATTTTTTAATAGCTTATTATTACCCCGTGTTCTTTTTTATTTATTTTTTTCAAATTTCTTTCCTATTTTTAATTTGTTTATCTAATATTTTACAAGAAAAATTTTTTTTTTATTTGCTTCATTTTATTGACATTTTTTTTTTAATTATAATATTGCTATCAGGCTTAATTTTATTACGAAAACCACAAATCTTTTTTAATTTTATTACCAAAACAATAAATCTAATTATTTAGCTTTTATTCCCATTAAAATTGGCAAGTAGCATTTTATGAAGTTGAAATTGCCGACACTATTTATAACATAATATGTTAGTATGATGCTGTTGATGTTTATTTGCTGTTGTTGGTGTTGGTGTTATTTTCCTGCACGAGTTGTTGACATGTTAATGACACTAAGTACAACGTAAGCACCTTTTTATTGAATAATAAAAAAGCATCTTCGCTTTAGCATTATTAGCACAACAAATATACATACATATACTCCTCGTATGTACACACTAATGCAACAAACAGACGAGCATGTGCACGGTAGTGTTGATTGTTTGACTATCTGTTATCTTACAGAGCAGACATTTGTATTTTGCTTAACGTATACCTACACACATATATGTACGTACGTATGTATATGAACCATTCAACAAAGCATTAGTCTCACCTTCGTTATTATCAACATTGTTTATATCAGTAATGTTAACAGCAACAGCGCCAACACAATTGCCACAATAAAATACTTCAATTCAGTATGTTATGTTGTTGTTATTGTTTTTGTTGTGGCATGCCTTTTTAACATATATCAACTTTGTTGTTTAGTGTTAATGTTGTATAACGTTTGCCGTTTGCCAGCAGCACTTAATTATTATGATTACGTTTCTTAGGGTCGCTTGCATACTATAACATATGCAGCAATTTTGTGTATGTAGTTGCTGATCAGTACAGTACAAATGTACTGTATGTGCTAGTGAATGCATATCACGTCATCTTATATTCTTTGTAGTGTGTTGTTCATCCGTTTCTGGCTTCTTAAACAACTACTACTACAATGTTGTTTTTTTTTTTGTATTTTTTTCCTATCACATGCATATAAAGAAGATAGCTATTCTATCGCGCTGTGTACAGTTTGTAATATTTGCGTGCAGTTTCAGTTTTTCCGTTGGTATATTAATTTTTTTTTTTTTTGTGTGTGTATGTAGTCACTGTTATGTCTTTAAACTGTTGGTTTATATGTTACTTTAACATCTGAACGTAGCAGTAAAGCTTCAATAAGTGGCTCTTTTAACATGTCACATAAGTTCAAAGAACTGACTTTTAGGTTTTTGTGATATGAAACGATTACAGTTTAAGAGTTGACTAGAATACAGATACTTTATGTTTCAAATATTGTTCTTTATTTAATTTCAAAGTTAATTTACAGAGATTGAATTAATTTAAAATAAATTTATAAAGTTTTAAAGTATCTAAACTATTACAAAAGCTTTAGAATTTTGTCCACTTGGGTGAGTTGGTACTCAAACGTACGATAAATACTTTTTTTAACATTTTTTTTTATAGTTTATAAAACTGTTTTTAGTATCTATTTTAATGTTATTTTAATCAATAAATTTTTACAATCTCTTCTTTATATCTACATATATTGTGTTTATTTTTTTTCGTACTTAAGATCTTTAATGTATTTTGGTTTTTTAGTTCATTCAACACTACATTTGATTTATATACCAATTTTACTGCAGCAGTTTCACGTAACAGGTTTAATAAAAAAAATTATTTCATTCACACCAATTCAATATCAATTTAACGTTCACTGTTTATCTTTTTAACACTGGTCTATTTTTTATGAGTAGTTTTTAGAAAAAGCGTAAAAATAAAATCTTCAATGAAATAAAAACTATACCAATGTAGCGTATGATTGACAAATACGAACTGCTACTCAACTACCTTACACACTTACAAAAGTTAAAGAGTTCCAGATTTGAATTTGGTGGCTATGTTTCTTCTTCTTGACTCTGGTTGACTACAGTTCACATCGCACCCATTTTCCAGTCCATTCATATTACTGAATAATCTGGTACCCTCTCACCACTTACACACATTCTAACCCATGTATAAGCTTTTGATGTTCCTTTCATGTTATGTACTTGATAGATATTTGTGGACTACAACAACAGTAACAGGGCCCTATATACAATAAATACTTTATTGAAATGATTTTCTTCGTTGTTTTTATTACCGTACAAGTATGATGTGTTTAAAATTTCAACTATTTATACTAACAATTCTGATTAATAATTTAAAATCAAATTTAATTTATTATTGCATTTTTAGCGTTACAAGTATATTCGTACATATTTAGTTAAAACGCATAAAAGTAGCATCAAACAATATTTTTTTCAGTGTAATTATTTTATGATATATACTTATATTTATTGCTACAAAATCATTTATTTTGCGCAGTCCTTTACAAAATAAATGATTTCTAATTCTTTATGCCCATAACTTATGCCAAATTAAAATGATAATTTGTAAAATCATATGACTGTAATAAATTTTTATAAAACATTCCCTAAAGCTTAAATCATAAGTAAATAATAGTTGTAAAACTTTAAAAAAATGTTAATTAATAATTTGCTTAAATTATTTATTGCTAAACTAATTCAATATCCACGACAATAATGGTTAAGTGGTTTTGTAAATTGATTACATCAGCGCATAATAATTACATCAAATACTCTTACTAATTGTAATTGCACTTAATTATTTTACAATTTAGTGCAAATATATTATTAATTAAAATGAAATAACTAAAGTGTGTCACTGGTGATGAACCGCAACAAAACGATTTTATAGATAAAACCGCAGAGCGCAAATATACGCAATAAATTATCTATAATATAAAATAAATATCTAAAATAAACTCTTTAAATTAATTTAAACATGTTTAAACCACTTTATATATGGCATATATATGTACATATATATATTTTTTCTTTTAGAAAATAATTTATTATTTACTTTTTCATTATAGGTACACCTTATTGGATGGCACCGGAAGTGGCAGCAGTCGAACGAAAGGGTGGCTATAATCAATTATGTGATATATGGGCTTGCGGCATTACAGCAATTGGTAAGTCCACGTTTGACTGAGTTCAAATTAAAAAGGAACCGTTCACTAACCTGCTACATATATTACAAGCATGAAATTGTGTTGGGCGGAGGAAAAAATGTGGTTTGGGTATAAAGTGGGTGGCAAAAAAAAGATGCTGTAGTTATTGTAATTTTAATGGGGTCATTTGCCGAAGCTTTCAATTATGCTTGTAAGTTGGCTTTATTATTATTATTTTTTTTTTTTTGAATTATGCGGCACATGTCGGAAGTAAGGAAGAAGGTTTCATCCTAAGCGTATAGCGGTTTATGAAAAATTAATAATAGCATCATATAATATATATGAAGAGAAATTACTTTCACACACAGTTTAATAATTAATTTAACATACATTGTATGCTTTTAGGCGCACTTATCTATGCAAGAGTGTTGCCAACTTTTATCTAATTTATGTTTTTAATTTGTAATTTTGTTTTTTTTTTTTTGTTTTTGCATAGAACTTGCTGAACTGCAACCGCCAATGTTTGATTTACATCCCATGCGTGCTTTGTTCCTGATGTCCAAAAGTGGTTTCAAACCACCGACGCTATCTAACAAAGAGAAATGGAGTCCAACATTTCATAATTTCATAAAAACGGCTTTAACAAAAAATCCTAAAAAACGTCCAACCGCCGAACGTTTGCTACAGCATCCATTTGTGCAGGGTGAGATGTCAGTGCGTGTGGCAAAGGAGCTGTTACAGAAGTATTTAAATCCCAGCCAGCAATTTTATTACCTTTTGGATGGTGAAGACGAGGTGTGTATATTTGTTACAAAATGAAATTGAGTAGCATTGCCAACACCATTGAAGCAGCAAATGAATATTCTTTTTTTTTTGTTTTTTTTTTCCTTCTCTGGTACGAGTAGTAGGCGAAGATAAATTTATTTAGGTGCAAAGTTTTTCTCAGTCCTCTAAGATTTATGCATCCATTACTAATCGTATATCCATTGCAGTTTTCTTCTTTTTTTTTTCTCCTTTTACCAATTATTTATGTTTGTTTCTCTGTACTGAAATTTCAAAAGTAATTTGAGCTTCTTTTTGCTTTGAGGCAGGAAAATTGCAAAGAAAAAAGGAGAGGTTTTACTTTCTTTTTTATTAGACACGTCTAAATGGCGCCATTGCCAATATTTTAGTACTGTGATACTCGTTTCTGTTAAGTACTGGGCATCAAATAGTTTTGTTGCCATGTGTGTAGGTTTTTTTTATGAATTCAAGAACTCTTTATTGTTTAGTTTTATTGATTAGCAAAGCTTTTAACACATAAGTTTATTTAAAATTACTACTAAAAAACAAGGTTCAAAACATTGGTTTATTTCAAATATGCATAATCTAAAGGTTATTAAATCTTTTATGATATAAAATAATAAAATCAATAATTAGTCTAATTAGCTTTTATTACGATTTTGAATGATTTTAGTTATTTAAGGAGTTTTCGTTTAGTTGTAATTATCTTTAGGAATTGATTTTACTTGATTATTTCAAATTAATGAATCCATTGGAAAATAAATTAATTTGATTTGCTTACTCAAGTGAGTAAGTAGTAATGACAATATACATAGAAATATTTATGTACATATGAATATACAATAAAGTTGAAATTAAGTTCATAAGCCCATCACTACACCAAAACTGAACAAATAGCATTACCAATAGTATTTCGACACATCGTATAACATTTGAATTTGTAAATAAATTTTTATTAATATTAGCTGTTTTTGTGTTACAATATTTAGAATATTTTTAAATGAATTAGTGAGTTGTTGAAGTACTAATTTTTAAAGATTTATATATAGCACTCAGAAGGTATAAATTAAATTAGGGATTTTTTAATAGTTTCATTGCATTTAATACACCACATAAGTTAAGTTTGGTTTTGCCCAATTTACACTTGAGTTCAAAATAATAGCCCGTTGTGATATCACAGATTAGAGCCGTTCATATGCAGACTAGAGTCTAGCATACGAACAATACAAAAAGACACAACACCCCGATTCAAGTAAAAGTGAACAAATCTGATAAATCTATAAACAAATCTGATAAACTAAGACACAGTTTATTCTTAAATATGCTATTGTCAGTTTGGAGCGGTTAATGTAAATCTCTACTGTGTTAACAGAAATCACTTTATCTTGAATCCAGTTTTCCTTACTAGATGTAAGAAAGTTAACTTCAAATCGTTATCTGGGTTGGAGCAAATCCTTATTCAGTATGATAACGTGCCCTATGTCAATTCCAAAACAGCGGGAGAAAGGATTAAATCTGGTTGTCACTAAATTAGCTTGCTGTTTTACTATAAATGGGGAAGGCAGTCCATGAAGCAAATCGAAAAGAACCTTCATAATGATTACACTACATAACCTGATTTATTTTTTACTTAAATATTATAATTTATTATAAGAGAACATAACTTTGTGTTTTGACTTCAAAACCTAATTTTAATTTTATTTAGAATTGAAAATAGATATAACTTTTTAAGACTGCTCAAATACTATAGCAACTATTTCACTGAGTTCAATAAATTCTGTAGTACTTATCTATATTGATTACGCTAATAAAAATAATAATAATAAATGTAATAATAACAACAAATATAATAATACTAATTATAATAATAATAATTATAATAATAATAATTATAATAATAATAATTATAATAATAATAATAACTGTAATTGTGTTATCAAATAAAATAAAATAAAAATAAAAAAATATAAAATTAAAAAAAATAAAATAAAATAAAAAACAAATAAAAAAAAAAAATAATATAAAACTAATTAAAAGAGAAATGAAAAATTCTATAAAAAAATAGGGAACAAATTTATTTAAAGTAATATTTAAGTTAAATTTCTTGAATGTGAGGTTATTTTAAATTTTATTTGTATAAATAACAAACTCTGATCATTAATTATAAAATGTTTAAATGCTATATACTATTTACGTAACTAGAATACAAAATTACTAACCGTGTTAAATTGCTCCTTTTCTCGCTTCATATTAAGGCAATAGTCATATCCAAGAGTTCCTTAAGTTATTTTCCCGCCTAATTAACTTAAGCTCAATTGGTTTAATTTGACTGTGAAATGTATGTGACCGAGCTCATACAATTATTTTGTAATTATATTATCCTTGAAAAAATTACACATTTTAACTCTTTTTTTACATTTTTGTTATTATTTCTTTAAATAATCTTTTCATGTTTCGCTTTAAATAACAACCCCATGTTGTCAACACTGCAACAAACCCAAACAATGTTGCCAACGTTGAAACGACAGAATGTCGCCAGTGTACCACAACGAATAGCGAGTAAAATGACATCAAGGCCAAATGGTATATCGCCACAGAATCACACTTTAAGAACAGGTATGGAATAAATTTTACTGAGTAGTAGTTAAGGGGTGGGGGTTTGAGTTTATGTATGCACTCTTAGTGTCAAAAGCTCTAAGCCAAGGTTTTTGTATAATTTTTTTTGTAAATATTTTGTTACAAAATTTTAATTTCTCTTTCTTCGTGGTAGGTATGACAACCACACCATGGAATGAGCGTTCATCTAGTCCAGAAACTTTACCTAGTGACATGTAAGTTTCCAATTTATATTATATATGGTACATTAAAATGCTTTATATGTTTATACATATATATATATAGATTAATTATTATTTGTTTATATTGCTTTTATATGATTTGTAGTTATGAAAATTCATTAAGCTTTTATAATATATGATAATGCTAAACGAATTTTTTTCACACATTTTTTCATTTAATACACACATTTTTTTTATTTAATACATGTATTTTTTTTTTTTATTAAAAATATCTATTTTTTTTATTTATAAAAATATTTTATATATTTTAAGTATTTTTATATGTACATTGAAACCTCTTTGCACTCAATGTAAACTCATTTAAAACTATTTGTAGTTGAAATATACACTTTCATAAACAAATCCGCTTAAAGAATTATTTACATAATGATATGCATATATATACATACATACAAACATACATACATACATAAACACAAGTATATAAACATAAATTCACTTTCATACATTTTCGTATTATTTTATTTTATAAATTATATTTAATTGAAATATAATTATTTTTTTATTTGATGCTAATGGAATAGCTTTTAGCAACATTGTCACTTTTAATACACTGTAATATTGTAATTTATAGTTTTTTAATTTAATTTGTTAGAATATTAATGAACTATTTAAAGTATTTTTCAAATTCTAAAAAACTATAATTGCATCGAATTAATGTAAAATAATTTAGAGTTTTTTTTTTATTTATCTGTATTAAAAATATTTAACTGTACTAAAACGATTTCGTTTTAGAGCTTATATTAATCCTTAAAATTTAATTTAATCGTTTTTGAATATTTGTTTTAATACATATTTTATTTATATCATTTAATGTTCTTATCTATAAAAGATACTTAAACCCATTCAAAACTTATACTAATCATATTTAGCATATGCTAGAAATTTAAAACATTTAAATTGCAGAGAGTAATTTTAAATCTATTAGAATACCATATTAGTCATTTCAAGCAAATGTGTTAAACATGTTTAATAGTATGAAAAAGGTGTTTAAATATTAAAACATGTTTAAGGTCACAAATTTATAAGTATAAGAAACATATTTTACTTTAAATACCACAGAGTTTAAAAGAAGATAATGCTAATTTTCCAAGGGATATTAGACACGCTTAAAGATTCCCTCTGTATTTGTTAAAGCATACAAAATGGATGACATCAATGATATCAACCCCATGCAATAAAAATGAAACCAATAAAATTGAATGAAGTGTTCTTTATAAAAAAAATCTGGAAACAAGTTTTACTTTCAGCAGCACATAAATGTTTATTAAAAATAGCTAATTATAAAAGTTTTTGTCTTTAAAAAAATTTTAATTCAATTCTTTCATTTGATTATATTTTTTATTGTTATATATTTTAATTTTTGATTTAATTTAAAAAATTTACAATAAATTCGTAAATACCAATCAAAAGATTATTAATAATGCTTCAATATGTTTTTTCAGTTTTAATATTTAACTTAATTTCTTACATGTTTTATTAAAAAACATCCCTGTTTCAAATTACAAAGTTAAACATGTTTAGTCTATTAAGGTAAGGTTTAACTTTAAACATATTTAACCTGCTTTGGTTTCAATAGGTTATAATTAGTTTAGTTAGAGATGAATTTTAAATAAAATTAATTTATTGGTGAGTTCTTTATACTTCTCATTTCTCTTCTCAGTGTTTTACTTTTGAATTACTTATTGTATTTATACTGTATAAAACTGCTACTTTGAAAATGTTTTATATAAGTATAAACAAATATATATATGTACAGTACATATATATTATAGTATATTATAATTTATCTTATATGCAATTATTATGATCTTTATATCTTCATAATAAATAATATAAATTTATTATAATAATAATTTATGAAAAATTAAAATATATTAGTGATTAAAATTAAAAGACATATTTTCAAAATAATAAGTAGATCAATAAAAAAAATCATTTTTTCCAAAATATGTTATTAAATGCAATAAAAAGTAACAATGTTGCTAAAATATATTTTTTTTATCTAGAAACTAAACAAAATTTTGCTCTTTTGTTGTTAATATTTTTTACAATTTATTTTATTTTTATTTTTTTTTTTTTTTAATATTTTTCTAGTCGTTTATTAAGACAACAAAAACTTACTGGTACTCTAATAATGAACATGTCCTTAAGGTTAGGTTTAATCTATTTAAATTTTTTATTTTTCTAATTTTATTTTATTTATATTATTTATATTCCAAGTTCCTATAAGCATGTTAAAGAATTTAATGCAAAAAAATTTAAAAATAATTTACTAAAATTTTTGGCAAAACTTAATTAATTTCCTATTTTAAGCGTCCTTTTTATGCTTATATACAATAATTTATAAATTTATAAATCAAAATTCCTTTAAAATGCCGCAACTGCGCACAATTTTTTTTTATTTAATTATAAAAATATTCGCCTGAAATTGAATTTGCCAAGCTTTTTTTTATCAGATGAAAGTTAGCTCGTAGTTCGAGAAGATGGCTGGAAATAACTTCTCTTAATATGGTTGTTATTAAATGTTTACTGCACTTTCCTAACTAAATTACATTGCTGTCTTGTAACTGCAAGAAAACTTAAGAAAATTCTACAAAATTTTGTGGAATTCCACAGCTCCGCTTCGAATTTTTTAATAGAGTTAAGTTATTTTGTATAGCTTCTGGCTACAAATATAGATATAAAATGTTGTGTTTCGTTGTTTTGAATAATTCTGGCGGTTGTTTTGTCTTAAATTTAAATTGTTGAATATTTTTAAATAATCTGCTTTAGATTAGTATTTGGATAGGAATTCCACTACAAGTAATGTGATGTTAAAATGTTATAATTAAAATATAATTTAATTTAATAAATTAAATAGTAAAAATTTAAATAATATTACAGGTTGTTATAAAAAGCCTATCTATTTTGGTAAAAAGAAACTTAAATTTGTTGAGACAAATTTTTCTCGGATTGATCTGATACAAATTAATTATAATAAATTCAAATATTTAATATCTACGATATTAGCTATCATAGAGAGTATGCTATTTGTTGAAGCTCCACAACTGAACTAGAATTGAATTGATCTTGCAATAGATCTTCATGCAGTTGTAGATCTGTAAAATGTCAATACATATCTCTATTTCCCTCAGAGTTGTTTCATATTTAACTTTTGTCATCATCGTTTTAATCTATCAACGAATGCCTGTCTTTTCCGTAGACTCCATTCATCAAACTTTTTACTTTTCCATTTTTTGCCACCTCTTATTTTGTTAATTCGTTGCGCTTATTCTAGATTTTCTTTGATCTCAGTCAACCATTTTTTTTAATTTTAACTTCCTTCTTCTCTTTTATTCGATTGTATTGTATTTCTTCTTTCGGTAAGATATATGTTATGTATATTCTTGATTTACATTTTCTTTGTTTTAACCTCTCTTTCTTCTAGAACTTTCATTCTGAAACTAACCCAAACATTGCTAGTTTGCAAAAGTATGTTTTTATCTTATTCCAAAAAATTGTTGATTACAATATTGTATTTTTGTCTTAGAAGGATATTATTTTAAGAGAAGATATGAGTACCAGTCCTTACAAAACACATTGATTTTAATAAGGGTTCTTCTAAAACACGTTGAATTTGATCCGCAGTACGGGTTGAAAAAAAGTAGGCTGTGTACTTATGTGTTATATGTTGAATTAAAATGATATTTTTTATGTCATTACAAAGGGGTGTTAATAATAATATTAATAATATTATTTTTTGTTTTTCTCAAATTGATATTTTTATGGAAGATAGTATAACCAATCTTTGCAATACACGTTGAATATAGTGTAGGTTCTTCTAAAACACATTGAATCCGATCCTCAGTACATTTTGTGTTGATAAACAGTAGACTATGTACTTGTGCATTATATTTTTAATTTAAATATTTTAATTTCTTTCACAATAGTTTTTCTTTTAACCTTTCTTTTTTTTTTAACACTTCTTAAACTTTTTTGCCGTTCATTTTTTATCTCCATGTGTTTATTATTGTTGTGATCCGGTTGAATCTAGTGGCGAATGGTAGTAACTTCTTGCAGAGTAACTTCAGGAGAAAAACCTAGCTGCTCGTGGAAGTTTTTTTTCCTCCACTCCTGTAATTCTCTTTGCTTTTTATGCCTTTTTTCTTTTTTATCTTAATTTTTAATTCTTTTTATTTCCACATCTCTTTTTCTGTTCTTTTGATTTTCTCTACTTTTAATCTTCTTTTGTTTTAATTTTCTCTATTTTTAATTTTCTCCATTATTAATTTTCTCCATTATTAATTTTCTCCATTTTTAATTTTCTCCATTATTAATTTTCTCCATTTCCATTTCTAATTTCTCTATTTTTATTTTCTCTATTAATATTTTCTCTATTATAATTTCTCTATTTTTATTTTCTCTATTCTTATTTTCTCTATTTTTATTTTCTCAATTTTTATTTCCTCTATTCGCTTTCCTAGTAAAAGAATCCGAGATATATGACTATTAACAAGAGGAAATCATTATGAGACTTTCATGTTAGATATTCACTAGTAATAAAAAATCTTATTAAGATTTTAAATAATTATGCAAACTTGCAAGGATATAACTATATCCTTACAAGCACTTTCTATAATAAAGCAGAATTAGAAATTCTCCAACAAAACTAAACAAGAAATTTCTTTTTATATAAAATTTGCAATAATATACTTGTTTTTCTGCTAAAAATTGTTGGTATATAAGTTATAAGAAGCTTAAAAGACGATTTTATATTTGAACAAATTTATAAAACATAAATATTCTATAAAAACTTCTGCCTTCGAAAAAGTTGTTTGTTATTTTCAATTTAAATGGCCTAATCAGCATTAAATAACACAAATAAAATCACTCATACGCCGCGTTGTGCAGAAAAATCAAAGGAAAAAGTACAAAGTGCTACGGCAATGGCAATGTAGCGGAGCAGACATTGCCAGAAAGCAATTGTTGAG